TATGACAAGGACAACGTTTGGTGCATATCATCTTAGGCCAAAGCTGGGAGACGATGAAGAAAAATGTAAACAGCATTTCAGATTATCTCCCGGATTGTAGAGGGCGTGCGGCGTAGCAGTTTATTTTATTGAAAATACACCAAGGCCATTGAAAGCTCCAAAGCTTCACTCTCGGAATGAATCCGGCTTAATATACCCATTTAGCTTAAATTACAAGCCATATTACCTTGCAATAATATTCAGTTGTATTTAAAGTATCACTGACCATCTTTGAACTGTCGCAAAATCATCATGACATACATGTACTCTCTTTCCTTCACCCAAAATGTCTTGTGATTTGATTTACTTTTTAGCCATAAGAAAAAATAAAAGTCAGGAGTGAAATAATCTGAAAATCGATCACTGGGCAATAAATCTGGATGGAGAAAACATATTTTTTCTCATGAAATCCGGTAACACGGCTGAGAGGGAAAACTCCGCACCTGTTTATTTTGAACCACCGGGATAAATACCTGCCTGTTTTTTTAACCACCTGGATAAATCCCACCTGTCCATTTTAACCACTTGATCAGATCCACGCCTGTTCATTTTAGCCAACTGGCAAACACCGCCTGTTCTTTTAATCAACCACCTGGGCAAATTTCATACTACGATAAAGATTGCCTTTCAGTGTACTGTACCATTAGTTTTATTTTCAAACGAATTACAACATTGAACTCCGGTTTCAGTCATTTAGTTTTTTCATGTGTAATGAATTAAATGCGATAATAGTATATTAACGTTTATTTGGTTATTGCTGACGAGAAGTTCGCCAGATAGGACAGCTTGGGTAGAATTTCACGAGAGACAGAGATAAGAAGAAAACAAAACGAATAAAACACGTTCAAAAAGAAAGAAACAAATAAAAATATCATTTGCTCCCTTCGGCCAGTGGTTCATAAGGCTCCAGATTGTCCACAGCGCCCTCGTCTCCGGGGCGCGCGAGGACCCATCTTGGACGCTGGTGGAGGAAGAAGTAGTCGTGGTTGTCCCTCCGGTAGAAGGAGAAGCCCTTGCTCTCCACCAGACGCACGAAGGCCCGGCTGTCCTCTGGGTCTCCCGACGTCCAGTGCTCCACCACCAGCACCTAAGGGGGAGTCTAGGTTTAAACAATTGATTTGGAATGTCGACGAGAGTTTATCACAATGTAAAGTGTATATATATTGTCTCTATGTACATTGGCCACAGTTATAATATGGAATAGGGCACGTTTATCTCATGTATATGTAAAGGGGTATGTTATTAACTTCATGGAACAAGGCACGTCTGTTATCTACACGTAACAAGGTACATATGTTGTCTATATGAAAAATGGTAAGTTTATTATCTATATGTCATTGGGTACATTTATTATTACTATATTGTAGGGCACAGGACACACTATATCCTGCATTCTTTGTGTATGGAAAACATATATTATATATATAAACAACGCTGGAGCCGTCGACGGATCTGACCTCGACGTGCACCCTGTCGAACGGAAACCACTGCAAGACGGCCACTTCGGCGTTCTCGATGTCGAGGGAAAACAGGTCGATCTGGGTCACGTTGAGGGCGGAGAGAATGCTGATGGCCGGCACGCAGTTGACCTCCACCACTGAGCCGCTGTCCAATCCTCCGTTTTCCTAGGGCAGGGCAAAGGGGGATTTGGTGGGACATGGGGAAGGAATTCTCCATATTCTCTCTCTCCTTCCCTCTCTTATTCTCTCTCTCTTCCTCTCTTATTCTCTCTCTCTTCCTCTCTTATTCTCTCTCTCCTTCCCTCTCTTATTTTTTCTCTCCTTCCCTCTCTAATTCTCTCTCCTTCCCTCTCTTATTTTTTCTCTCCTTCCCTCTCTAATTCTCTCTCTTTCCCTCTCTTATTCTCTTTCTCTTTCCCTCTCTTATTCTCTCTCTCCTTCCCTCTCTTATTCTCTCTCTCCTTCCCTCTCTTATTCTCTCTCATTCCCTCTCTTATTTTTTCTCTCCTTCCCTCTCTAATTCTCTCTCTTTCCCTCTCTTATTCTCTTTCTCTTTCCCTCTCTTATTCTCTCTCTCCTTCCCTCTCTTATTCTCTCTCTCCTTCCCTCTCTTATTCTCTCTCATTCCCTCTCTAATTCTCTCTCCTTCCCTCTCTCTTTCCCTCTCTTATTCTCTTTCTCTTTCCCTCTCTTATTCTCTCTCTCCTTCCCTCTCTTATTCTCTCTCTCCTCCCTCTCTCATTCTCTCTCTCCTCCCTCTCTCATTCTCTCTCTCCTCCCTCTCTTATTCTCTCTCTCTTTCCCTCTCTCCTTCCCTCTCTTATTCTTTCTCTTTCCCTCTCTTATTCTCTCTCTCCTCCCTCTCTTATTCTTTCTCTCCTTCCCTCTCTAATTCTCTCTCTCTTTCCCTCTCTTATTCTCTCTCATTCCCTCTCTAATTCTCTCTCTCTTTCCCTCTCTTATTCTCTCTCTCTCCCTCTCTTATTCTCTCTCTCTTCCTCTCTTATTCTCTCTCATTCCCTCTCTTATTCTCTCTCTCCTTCCCTCTCTTATTCTCTCTCTCCTTCCCTCTCTTATTCTCTCTCTCCTTCCCTCTCTTATTCTCTCTCTCCTTCCCTCTCTTATTCTCTCTCTCCTTCCCTCTCATTATTCTCTCGCTCCTTCCCTCTTACTCTCTCTCCTTCCCTCTCTTATTTTCTCTCTCCTTCTCTCTCTTATTCTCTCTCATCTCCCCTCTCTTATTCTCTCTCTCCTTCCCTCTCTTATTTTCTCTCTCCTTCCCTCTCTTATTCTCTCTCATCTCCCCTCTCTTATTCTCTCTCTCTCCTTCCCTCTCTTATTCTCTCTCATCTCCCCTCTCTTATTCTCTCTCTCCTCTCTCTTATTCTCTCTCCTTCCCTCTCTTATTCTCTCCTATCCTCCCTTCCTCCTCTCTGTCCCCTCCTATCTCTCTCCTTTCATCCCTCCCTTCTCTCCCTCCCTCCCTTCCTCCTCTCTATCCCCTCCTATCTCTCTCCTTTCATCCCTCCCTTCTTTCCCTCTCTCCATTCCTCCTCTCTGTCCCCTCCTATCTCTCTCCTTTCATCCCTCCCTTCTCTCCCTCCCTCCCTTCCTCCTCTCTATCCCCTCCTATCTCTCTCCTTTCATCCCTCCCTTCTCTCCCTCTCTCCCTTCCTCCTCTCTATCCCCTCCTATCTCTCTCCTTTCATCCCTCCCTTCTCTCCCTCTCTCCCTTCCTCCTCTCTATCCCCTCCTATCTCTCCTTTCATCCCTCCCTTCTCTCCCTCTCTCCCTTCCTCCTCTCTATCCCCTCCTATCTCTCTCCTTTCGTCCCTCCCTTCTCTCCCTCCCTCCCTTCCTCCTCTCTATCCCCTCCTATCTCTCTCCTTTCATCCCTCCCTCCCTCCCTCTCTATCCCCTCCTATCTCTCTCATTCCATCCCTCCCTTCTCTCCCTCCCTCCCTCTCTATCCCCTCCTATCTCTCTCCTTTCATCCCTCCCTTCTTTCCCTCTCTCCCTTCCTCCTCTCTATCCCCTCCTATCTCTCTCCTTTCATCCCTCCCTTCTCTCCCTCCCTCCCTTCCTCCTCTCTATCCCCTCCTATCTCTCTCCTTTCATCCCTCCCTCCCTTCCTCCTCTCTATCCCCTCCTATCTCTCTCCTTTCATCCCTCCCTTCTCTCCCTCCCTCTCCCCCTCCCTCCCTCCCTCCCTCTGTCTCAGAGCTTTCATCTTACGCAACTAATACCGCCCGAAATTGGGATCGTCTTCTTACGTAGTTCTCCAGGTGTTCCTTCAGAAGACCGCTCCGGGACGCCGCGATGAGACTCTGCTTTGGGTCCGCGCCCGTGTGCACCCAGAACTCTGTCTGAAAGGCGAGGGACGCTTTAATTCAAGGTTAAGAGGATGGTTAATGCACGTGGCAATGTAGGGTACTGTAATTTGTCATAGATCAGTGTAATGCACAGTGTAATGGTTAAGGAAGGCGTATTCATGCCACTACCTTGTCAAAATATGAGCTGATCGCTATAACAATGATAAATGCATAAAAAATGCAATAAAAGTACTTTATTTTTTGGAGGTATTATTACCAAATCTCTGTACCATCTTCACTGTTTTTTATACATTAAAGTATGTTAACGGAGTAAAACATTTAAACAAAAAATCGAACACAGCATTGCTAAATCTCTGAGTCACCTTCAATATTTTACGCATTAAATTTAACGGAGTAACCCCTCCCCTACCATATCTCTGAATCCCCTTCACTGGGTGTTTCACGAATCAAAGTACTTTAACGGATTCAAACCTATTAAAAGCTTTCAAAGAAAGTGTCAAATCTCAGAATCACCTTTACTGGATACGGCTTGGTCCCGAGGCAGAGGTCCGTGGCCCACGCCCTCCTGTGGCGCGCGAGCAGCGCCTCGAAGAACACGGGGTTGGGCTCCACCAGGAGGCCGGTCCAGCCCCAGTCCCGCTCCAGGAAGAACGTGTTGGACTGGTAGTAGCCGTCCAGCGCCCCCGCCTCCAGGAAGAACCCGCCGCGCTGCGAGGGACGGGAATCAGCGGGGCGGAAGGGACTTTTTGCATTGGGAGGCATTGGAGTGTGGTTGAGACAGTGGCTACACTAGTATAAGCACGTGTTTGATTCTACATGTAATTAATCTTTATTAGTTGTTATTTTTTCTCTCTCTCTCGCTTTCTCTCTCTCTCTCGCTTTGTCTCCTCTTCCCCTCCCTCCACCTTCCCTTTCCCCACCTCTCCCCTCCCTCTTCCCCTCCCCCGCCTCTTTCCCTCCCCTCCCTCTTCCCCTCCCCCACCTCTCCCCTTCCTCTTCCCCTCCCCTCCCTCTTCCCCTCCCCCACCTCTCCCCCCTCCCTCTTACCCTCCCCCACCTTTCCCCTTCCTCTTCCCCTCCCCCACCTCTCCCCCCTCTCTCTTCCCCTCCCCCTCCTCTCCCCATCTCTCACCTCCTCCCTCCCCCACCTCTCCCTTTCCCCCTCCCCCACCTACCTTTCCCCGCAGCACATCCAGGATCCCCTGGTGAACCCTCTGCCAGTACTGAAGCCTCGTGAAGTCGACATTAGTCCCGAGGTCGAGATTATAGGGCAGGTGTGAAGGAGGACTCAGGTGCTCCTCCTTCACCCACGATATCACCCTCGGGTCCTCAGCCTCGAGGGGTCCTGCGAGGCGGATCCTCCAGTCTTCTCCTGCAGGGGCGTGGCGGGGAAAGCCCTCTGGAGATCGGATCTTCGAAGGACCTTTTTTTCGGGCTGGAAGATTGGGGCGAAAAGATTGGGTTTTGTTAGAGGATTGGTTAGAAGTTGGTTGTCGATTCTGGGATTGGATTAAGGGTGTGGTTGTGGAAGAGAAGAGAATCTTGGGGATTTTTTGTTAATATTATTATTGTTATTTTGGTATTATGAAAGGAACGACGAGACTAGCTTTTGATTGTTAAAATTGTTGATTTTTAGTAATATAATAATTTGTATTTTATTGAAATAATTACAATATTGATAATAGTGATGATGATGATAATGATGATGATCATCACTATTACTGTTGTTGCGATTGTTGCTATCATTACAGTTATTGCTATTGATGTCATGAACATCACTGCTGTCATGAACATCACTTATAACCACCATCGTCATCATAACCATCATGATCATCACCACCATCACCATCACCGCCCTCAACATCATAATACTCATCATCACCATCACTATGCCGCTGATGAAAATAGTTTCACAGTGAACACAGTTCAGCACATTATCCAAGCCACGGATTTAGCCTTAATAAAACATGTTCAAACTAATTCTATTGTAAATATATTCGCTATCAAGTTGGTATCCGTTCGTCGTCGATGCATGTGTGTCTATATTCGTGTACTTTAGCTATCCGCGATTTGCGAAGTTCTAGCTTCGCCTGGGCCTTCGGCTATGGCCCGGCCTATACCCGTATATGTGTATGTGTGAACAACACGTAGCAAGACCGGATGGCAGAGTCACACCTCGGTCCAAGCAAATGCCTTTCTCCTTGGGCAGGACGCAGGTGTTGCCTTCCTTTCTCTTTTCACACAGGAATAAACATCCGCCCTCCAAGGAAACCGCCGCATAAAAGGGCACGTGCCTATGACGACGGGGAAGGAGACACGGCAGACAGGCCAAGCGACACAGGGTCCAGCTCCACCACCTCGTCCTCCACCCGGGGACACATTGGGAGTCTCATATCTATCTTCAGAAATAAACCAGCAAGTTAAGACCCCTTTCATTGACCGCCCCAAGACCATCTCTGTTACGCTTACATCTACTGGCTTGCGTGGTCACTTATGCTTACAGTATGTGTATGCATGTACAATACATATGTAGGGTATAAATATACGCATCTAAAAGAAATATTGTACGGCTGTTCAAACGGGGTGTTCAAGATCCTAACATGTAAATAAGCTGTCTATATTTTTTTTATTGTTAAAGTTTGTGATAAAATTTGTTCACTCGCTCTTTCTCTTTCTCTGTTAGTCTCTCTGACTCTGTCTCTCCCTTATTGTCGTTCTTTCTCGTGCTCTTTTAGTCCCTTTTTATCGTTTTCTCTCTCTTTCTTCCGTGTTCTTGTTCTCTCTATCTGTCTTCCTTATTCTTGTTCTCTCTCTTTCTCTCTCACACATGCACACTCACTCTCACGCTCACATGCCACAGGCTACGATATACCATCGCTGTCTGCAACAAATTGATAGGTGCTGAAGTCACTTTTCACAGAATAAGACTATTACCACTGAGCATGGCAAACTATCAACACCATTACCCATGCTGACTGCTGCTGTGCCCTTTATGCTATCATCATGCACTTCACCGCTGACGGGCTGGTGAGATTTTTTTTCTTGTTTACGCTGAGGAGACTAGAGCACCTGCAAGCAACCCGGCCCACTGAGGTAAGCATTCAGTATTGATGAATCAGCTGAGAAAGTTTTTAACAAGCTGATTCAGGCCGAACTGCATGTGAAGCTTGCCTGATATTGATATTGTTTTCTCATTTTCTTTTTTCACGTGTTTTCTTGTTCTTTCTCCTTCGTCCTCTCGCTCTCGCTTCTTTCCAATGCTGCCCTCTTTTCTGTCTCTCACTCTCTCTCCGTTGTACTTTCGTTCTCCTCCTCGTACATTCTCTTGTTCTTTCTCTCATTTTCTCCCACGCACTCTTGCTTTTCTCGCACATTCTCCTACTTTTTCTCTCACTTTTTTTTTTCTCTCTCTCTCTGACTTTCACGCCCCGTTCCCTCGCGCTCCATCTCGCTCCCAAAACCGAGCCCACCGCACTCCTTGTCCTACGCCAACACTAACCTCTATCGCCACGAACAGGCGAAACTGGGCGAAATTGGCCAGGAGTTTGGTCCCTAAATTGGCCACTGAGATCAAGGCCGTTTCCGAAGAGCAGATTCAGCGTCAGGAAGCACCCGACGAGCACAAGGACGAACCCTTGCCATGGTTTCGAACGCAGCGTCTGGGCCATGCTTGGAAGATGACGGGCGGGTCGAGGCCTTGCTTGGATAGCAGGGGAGGATGTCGAGTTGTAGGCTCTACTTAAAAATAGATTCCGAGGGAGGAAAAAAATAGAACGTTCTATTTTCACGGCAGCTTTTTTTTCGTGTCTTTCCTTCTGCGTTATTCTGGGTCATGCAGATTGTCTTTTGTTTTCCTTGTACCTTGGTTTCGCAATTTCAAACTTGAAAATATGTTCGTTAGGGGATTTTCCTTAGACATTACATTTACGAAACAGAGCAGGACCTCATAAATTTCCCTCGCTTATCCTGTTCCTTAATTTACGTATATTTCCTACTGGTTAGGTATTGATTTTTTCCTTCTTGCCACATTTATTTATTTTTTTTTACATACACAGACGCAGACTTGTACAAATACACATGAGCAAACATATACACTCACACACACACACACACACGTACGTTCGTAGACATGTACGTACATATACACACCTTGCCGCGCATAAATATAAATGGGTAAATTTCCTTGTTAGGTTCGGTGAGGGGGGGGGGGGGGTAGGTAGGTAAAGGCAGGGGGTAGGGGAGAGAGGTAATAGTTGGGGAAGGGATAATATCAACATTGCATATCGACATTTATGGCTCGTGCTTCCTGACGCTGAATCTACTCTTCGGAAATGGCCTTGATCTCAGTGGCCAATTTAGGGACCAAACTCCTGGCCAATTTCGCCCAGTTTCGCCTGTTCGTGGCGATAGAGGTAAGTGTTGGCGAAGGACAGGGAGTGCGGTGGGCTCGGTGCTGGGAGCGAGATGGAGCGCGAGGGAACGGGGCGTGAAGGTCAGAGAGAGAGAGAGAGAGAGGGAGAAAGAGTGAGAGAAAAAGTAGGAAAATGTGCGAGGAGAGCAAGAGTGCGTGGGAGAAAATGAGAGAAAGAACAAGAGAATGTACGAGGATGAGAACGAAAGCACAACGGAGAAAGAGAGAGACAGAAAAGATTAGCGAGGACGAGGAGGAGAGCATGAGGAAGAAAAGTCGAGAGAGAGAGAGAGAGAGAGAGAGAGAGAGAGAGAGAGAATAAGCGAAAAAAACAAACAAGAAAATGAGCGACAAAGAGAGCGAGAGAACGAAGGAGAAAGAGCAAAAGAAATAACAAGAAAACACGTGAAAAAGAAAACGAGAAAACAATATCAATTCCCTTAAGTGAGATTTGCAAAGCCAAGCTTCACATGCAGCTCGGCCTGAATCAGCTTGTTAAAAACTTTCTCAGCTGATTCATCATTACTGAATGCTTACTGCAGTGGGCCGGGTTGCTTGCAGGTGCTCTAGTCTCCTCAGCGTAAACAAGAAAAAAATCTCACCAGCCCGTCAGCGGTGAAGTGCATGATGATAGCATAAAGGGCACAGCAGCAGTCAGCATGGGTAATGGTGTTGATAGTTTGCCATGCTCAGTGGTAATAGTCTCATTCTGTGAAAAGTGACTTCGACACCTATCGATTTGTTGCAGACAGTGATGGTATATCGTAGTCTGTAGCATGTGCGCGAGAGAGAGAGAGAGAGAGAGAGAGAGAGAGAGAGAGAGAGAGAGAGAGAGAGAGAGAGAGAGAGAGAGAGAGAGAGAGAGCAAGAATAAGGAAGAAAGAGAAAGAGAGAGAGAGAGAGAGAGAGAGAGAGAGAGAGAGAGAGAGAGAGAGAGAGAGAGAGAGAGAGAGCGAGCGAGAGAACAAGAATAAGGATAAAAGAGAGAGGGAGAGAACAAGAATACGGAAGAAAGAGAGAGAGGGAGAGAGAAAGCGATAAAAAAGGGACAAAAAAGAGAGCAGAAGAAAGAACGACATTGAAGGAGAAACAGAGAGTCGGAGAGACTAACAGAGAAAGGAAAAGATTATAGAGCTAACATGTAAATATAGCTTATTTACATGTTAGGATCTTGAACAGCCAAGTATATTTCTTTTAGATGCGTATATTTATACCTACATATATAAGTACAAATGTATTGTACATGCTTACACATACACATATACGGGTATGTGCGGATAACTATGGTACACGAATATAGACACATACATGCATCGACGACGAACGGATACCAACTTGATAGCGAATATATTTACAATAAAACTAGTTTGAACATGTTTTATTAAGGCTAAATCCGTGGCTTGGATAATGTGCTGACACTGTGTTCACTGTGAAACTATTTTTTCATCAGCGGGATAGTGATGGTGATGATGAGAACAATGATGGTAATGATGTTGAGGGCGGTGATGGTGATCATGATGGTTATGATGAAGATAATGATGAGGACAGTGATGTTCATGACATCAATAGCAATAATTGTAATGATAGCAGTAACAATTGCAACAACAATAAGGGAGGATTGTTATATAAATAAGTGATGTTGATCATCATCATTATCATCATCACTGTTATTATTATTGTAAATATTACAATAAAATACAAATGATTATATTAATAAAAATCAACAATATTAACAATCAAAAGCTAGTCTCTTCGTTCCAGTTATAATAACAAAATAATTATATCAACAAAAAATCCCCAAGATTCTCTTCTCTTCCACAACCACACCCTTAATCCAATCCCAGAATCGACAACCAACTTCTAACCAATCCTCTAACGAAACCCAATCTTTTCGCCCCAATCTTCCAGCCCGAAAAAAAGGTCCTTCGAAGATCCGATCTCCAGAGGGCTTTCCCCGCCACGCCCCTGCAGGAGAAGACTGGAGGATCCGCCTCGCAGGACCCCTCGAGGCTGAGGACCCGAGGGTGATATCGTGGGTGAAGGAGGAGCACCTGAGTCCTCCTTCAGACCTGCCCTATAATCTCGACCTCGGGACTAATGTCGACTTCACGAGGCTTCAGTACTGGCAGAGGGTTCACCAGGGGATCCTGGATGTGCTGCGGGGAAAGGTAGGTGGGGGAGGGGGAAGGGGAGAGGTGGGGGAGGGGGAAGGCGGATGAGGGACGAGAGAGGTGGGGAAAGGGATTCTGGATGTGCTGCGGGGCAAGGTAGGTGGGGGGTGGAGGGGAGGGGGGAGGTGGGGGAGGGGGAAGGGGAGAGGTGGGGGAGCGGATGAGGGATGAGAGAGGTGGGGAAAGGGATTCTGGATGTGCTGCGGGGCAAGGTAGGTGGGGGTGAAGGGGAGGGGGGAGGTGGGGGAGGGGGAAGGGGAGAGGTGGGGGAGCGGATGAGGGACGAGAGAGCATGTATATGTATATGTATATGTATATGTATATGTATATGTATATGTATATGTATATGTATATGTATATGTATATGTATATGTATATGTATATGTATATGTATATGTATATGTATATGTATATGTATATGTATATGTATATGTATATGTATATGTATATGTATATGTATATGTATATGTATATGTATATGTATATGTATATGTATATGTATATGTATATGTATATGTATATGTATATGTATATGTATATGTATATGTATATGTATATGTATATGTATATGTATATGTATATGTATATGTATATGTATATGTATATGTATATGTATATGTATATGTATATGTATATGTATATGTATATGTATATGTATATGTATATGTATATGTATATGTATATGTATATGTATATGTATATGTATATGTATATGTATATGTATATGTATATGTATATGTATATGTATATGTATATGTATATGTATATGTATATGTATATGTATATGTATATGTATATGTATATGTATATGTATATGTATATGTATATGTATATGTATATGTATATGTATATGTATATGTATATGTATATGTATATGTATATGTATATGTATATGTATATGTATATGTATATGTATATGTATATGTATATGTATATGTATATGTATATGTATATGTATATGTATATGTATATGTATATGTATATGTATATGTATATGTATATGTATATGTATATGTATATGTATATGTATATGTATATGTATATGTATATGTATATGTATATGTATATGTATATGTATATGTATATGTATATGTATATGTATATGTATATGTATATGTATATGTATATGTATATGTATATGTATATGTATATGTATATGTATATGTATATGTATATGTATATGTATATGTATATGTATATGTATATGTATATGTATATGTATATGTATATGTATATGTATATGTATATGTATATGTATATGTATATGTATATGTATATGTATATGTATATGTATATGTATATGTATATGTATATGTATATGTATATGTATATGTATATGTATATGTATATGTATATGTATATGTATATGTATATGTATATGTATATGTATATGTATATGTATATGTATATGTATATGTATATGTATATGTATATGTATATGTATATGTATATGTATATGTATATGTATATGTATATGTATATGTATATGTATATGTATATGTATATGTATATGTATATGTATATGTATATGTATATGTATATGTATATGTATATGTATATGTATATGTATATGTATATGTATATGTATATGTATATGTATATGTATATGTATATGTATATGTATATGTATATGTATATGTATATGTATATGTATATGTATATGTATATGTATATGTATATGTATATGTATATGTATATGTATATGTATATGTATATGTATATGTATATGTATATGTATATGTATATGTATATGTATATGTATATGTATATGTATATGTATATGTATATGTATATGTATATGTATATGTATATGTATATGTATATGTATATGTATATGTATATGTATATGTATATGTATATGTATATGTATATGTATATGTATATGTATATGTATATGTATATGTATATGTATATGTATATGTATATGTATATGTATATGTATATGTATATGTATATGTATATGTATATGTATATGTATATGTATATGTATATGTATATGTATATGTATATGTATATGTATATGTATATGTATATGTATATGTATATGTATATGTATATGTATATGTATATGTATATGTATATGTAT